ACAGAATTAACATATCTATTTTAATACAGACTACATGAAAACACTACTAATCATTCAAAATTACAATTTACCCAATGGATCATGATAATTTTCTGGTAAGAAGTGGGGGTGCAAAAACATACATTTACACTCCTATTTTGAAAGTGGTGTGAAGCTGCTCTGTTTGCTCCATTGCTCAGGCGCCTATGCACACACACACGCACATGCTAAAGTAGACACACACACACAATGACAGTAAAAAGGACACAGAATTCTTCAGTGTTCCCATGTTGTTTAACTAATAAACACACTGGAATATTTATTGCAGGAACTGCTTTTCTCCATTTCTTATGCAACATTTAGGATAGATAACACTGTACTGTAGCAACAGAGAGAAACTCTGCAAGGTGGGACACTGCTTGCACCAATTCAGGGGTGTTGTTATTCATGCAGTGTTTTATACTGTGCATTGCTATTTTTTTCAACAAGTAATAGATTAATTTGAAGTGATACATGTTCATGGCCAAATGGCTGCTGAGAGTAATGTTTGCTTGACAGATGGACATACCAGGTTCTGCTCTCCAACTACATTCTCCACACTAAGAACAAGAAAACCAGGGCACAGAAAAAGTCGAAAAAACGCAATGCACCAAAACGATCATCAAAGGGAATTTTTAGACTCAGTACTTTCAGGGTCCCTTTTTTAGCAACCATGCATCTTTAAAGTGGAATTGAGAATGTTGGCATGTTAAAAATTCACGAGGCAACATGACATCCCCATTTTTTCAGACACATTAACATTTGGATTCCTTTTTATAGCTGCCCCTCCAGGAGCCTGTGCCTGCTGCATGGCTGAATAAAACATCAAGTGGCTTCCCCCTGACTGCACGGATTTGTCAGGGAACTATATAAATAGCTCTGCAGGCAGGCAGGCAGGCAGACACGTGTACCCACCCAATGTAGGCAAAAAAATATTCTGCCCGCTGCAGAGCAGAGCAGAGAGAGAGAGAACAGGAAAAGACAGATCTGCTTTCCACTGCAGAGAGACTGCAGACTGGTTTGAAACCTGCAATCAGCAGACGTATATTCCAAAAAGATTGATACTGTGGAAAAGATATGCATCTTGAAATGCATTAATATTTGTGATAGATCTGTGGTAATTAGTATGCATCTCCTTTCTCATAATACTAGGAACTATTAATGGCATCAGTCTCAAAAGTGTTCAAAATGCACACTTTGTGACATCATTTGGTTTTATATACTGTAGTTTCATCATGTGACCTCCATACTTCAATTAAATCTTATCACTGATGCCTAAAACTATATATGCCCATACACTAATATTTGCAATGTTAGGCTAACTAATGCAACAAAATATTGTAGAAGATATATCAGTGTCATCAGAACATCTTCAGAAAAATGAAAAAATGAAATGATTAGAAAGTTTAGAAATCAATTCCACATCTCCCTGTTGTTGATTTTGTCTGCAAATAACAAGTATTTTTCTCAAGAGACTCCTGGAAGAGTATTTTTCTACATTATCAAGCTGCCAAACACACAGACACACAGACACACACACAAACAAACACACCACACACATACAGTGTGGGGAAAAAAGTATTCGATCCCCTGCTGATTTTGTACGTTTGCCCACTGACAAAGAAATTATCAGTCTATAATTTTAATGGTAGGTTTATTTGAACAGTGAGAGACAGAATAACAACAACAAAATCCAGTAAAACGCATATCAAAAATGTTATAAATTGATTTGCATTTTAATGAGGGAAATAAGTATTTGACCCCCTCTCAATCAGAAAGATTTCTGGCTCCCAGGTGTCTTTTATACAGGTAACAAGCTGAGATTAGGAGCACACTCTTAAAGGGAGTGATCCTAATGTCAGTTTGTTACCTGTATAAAAGACACCTGTCCACAGAAGCAATCAATCAGATTCCAAACTCTCCACCATGACCAAGAACAAAGAGCTCTCCAAGGATGTCTGGGACAAGATTGTAGACCTACACAAGGCTGGAATGGGCTACAAGACCATCGCCAAGCAGCTTGGTGAGAAGGTGACAACAGTTGGTGCGATTATTCGCAAATAGAAGAAACACAAAAGACTGTCAATCTCCCTCGGCCTGGGGCTCCATGTAAGATCTCACCTCGTGGAGTTGCAATGATCATGAGAACAGTGAGGAATCAGCCCAGAACTACACGGGAGGATCTTGTCAATGATCTCAAGGCAGCTGGGACCATAGTCACCAAGAAAACAATTGGTAACACACTACGCCGTGAAGGACTGAAATCCTGCAGCGCCCGCAAGGTCCCCCTGCTCAAGAAAGCACATATACAGGCCCATCTGAAGTTTGCCAATGAACATCTGAATGATTCAGAGGAGAACTGGGTGAAAGTGTTGTGGTCAGATGAGACCAAAATCGAGCTCTTTGGCATCAACTCAACTCGCCATGTTTGGAGGAGGAGGAATGCTGCCTATGACCCCAAGAACACCATCCCCACCGTCAAACATGGAGGTGGAAACATTATGCTTTGGGGGTGTTTTTCTGCTAAGGGAACAGGACAACTTCACCACATCAAATGGACGATGGACGGGGCCATGTAGCGTCAAATCTTGGGTGAGAACCTCCTTCCCTCAGCCAGGGCATTGAAAATGGGTCGTGGATGGGTATTCCAGCATGACAATGACCCAAAACACACGGCCAAGGCAACAAAGGAGTGGCTCAAGAAGAAGCACATTAAGGTCCTGGAGTGGCCTAGCCACTTTCCAGACCTTAATCCCATAGAAAATATGTGGAGGGAGCTGAAGGTTCGAGTTGCCAAACGTCAGCCTCGAAACCTTAATGACTTGGAGAAGATCTGCAAAGAGGAGTGGGACAAAATCCCTCCTGAGATGTGTGTAAACTACAAGAAACGTCTGACCTCTGTGATTGCCAACAAGGGTTTTGCCACCAAGTACTAAGTCATGTTTTGCAGAGGGGTCAAATACTTATTTCCCTCATTAAAATGCAAATCAATTCATAACATTTTTGACATGTGTTCTTCTGGATTTTTTTGTTGTTATTCTGTCTCTCACTATTCAAATAAACCTACCATTAAAATTATAGACTGATCATGTCTTTGTCAGTGGGCAAACGTACAAAATCAGCAGGGGATCAAATACTTAATTCCCTCACTGTAAACACACACCGAGCATCAAAACAAATCCGCTCTGCCTGGATGGAATCTATGAGTGGAATCTTAAGAGTACATGATAAGAAAGCCCATTAATTCCAGTAAAGTGCTTTTCTCTAGAAACATGAGTGGTACGTTTCATGCAATGTTCCCAATTACAGCAGATGGCAAAACAATCCACCATGACGCCTCCTTCAACACCCATCAATGTTTCCCTGTAGAGGAAGTGTTTGTTCAGATGGATGCTGAAATTCAATAATATAGTACATTTTTGCAAACACTTTCATCCAAAGTGACCTAGAGTTGACCTATCATGTATTCAGTATGTGTGGCACATGCAGGAATCAAACCAACAATCCCAGTATTGCTAGCAGCACCATGCACCATCCAACTGAACCATCTTAACCACAATTTGTTTTGGAATGTGTTTAGTGGCCTTTAGGGATCAAGCTTATTGAATAAGTTGAGCTTTTGGGACCGAATCAGTTTGTTGATATTGTAATGGGACTTCAGGTGGCATCTGGCATTAGGAGAATGAGCACCAATGGGAGTAATAATTACAACAACTACCTTGTTGTTGTTCACTATAAAAATACATTACTTTATTTCTCTCCAACAGAGAACTCCAGCAACCACCAGTGATCTTAGAGGAGTCCTTGGATTACAAAAGCTTGACAGACCATTCCAACAACACCAAGAGGCAAAGCAACAGTGAGTGCTCTAACAGCTTACCCACCAGCGGGATGGAGATCGTGTCCCTTATGTAACTAACTACAGATGGGAGTACTCATTCCACTCATTCCATTCCGGCATATTAGGCACTCACTGCAGTGCTTGGTGTGTTTGGTCTGTGTGTTATCAGGGGGACTAGATGCATGGTAGAGAGGCTCGTGGCTCACTATCCAAATTGGATGTTCTCTGGTGGCTAGCTGATGGGTATGTTGCCTGCTCCATATGGAGCTACACCTGCTGTAAATGTCTATCTGGGCGTTAAGGGCAATTCATCTTATCAGACCCATCAGTATGTCTTATCTGTCTAATCCTACAGCAGCTGGCCAATAGGTCATGATATTAAACATCACTTTTTGATTACATCTACAACCGGAGTGCATGAAACACCATAGACAAAACATTGATCAGATTGATTGTGTGATATGTACTGTAGTGTGAGTCAGTAAGCAGAAAAACTTTGAAAGCAAATGACCATGCTTCATCAGGTCGGTGCAGACTAAACAAATGTGAAGTGATGTTTAGTAACCTTCATCAGGCACATCCTGAAACTGCGCTTCACCTCCTTCAACATCTGAATCCAAACATTTTGTTATGCAGTCATTCGAAGGGTCAATACACTGATCGAAGACCACGGCCTTGCTCATGACTGATGCATTAGCATACTGCCTATAGGCAGGAGGTTAAACATTTTAAATTTCAATCCATTAGCAGACGCTTTTATCCAGAACGATTTACAGCAGTGAGTGCACACATTTTCATACTGGTCCCCCATGAGAATTGAACCAACAACCCTGGCATTGCAAGCGCCGTGCGCTACCAACTGAGCCACACAGGACAACCGTGTGGCTCAGTTGGATCCGAGCACTTTCTGAGAAGACTATGTTCAGAGCTGCAGGTGTACATGGAAATAGCCCAGTCTTTAGTTAGCTACCGTAGAAAGAAGCTGTGAAGAGGAATTTATACATCAGAAGACAATCAATGTGATCTGAATCTGACATTCTCTGTTTTGATGTTATGTGATCAATATTCAGGAAATGTACTGTACTTTCTTACACGCTTTTATTCTATTCTATTCTATTCTCCCCTTAATTTGAGCAGAACCATGAAGACCAGACTAGCCTGCCTGTCCAATAAGTCCGACTCCTACACCGACTTCACTGAGTTCCTGCCCCCTGCTCAGGACAGGGCCACCAGATGCCTAAAGTAACTAGACCTTTATATCTGATTACATGGTGCCAGTCTCTCCCATTCAGATAGGATTGAGGTATTATTTCTACCAAAGCTAGGGATATGTAATAGGACTACTAAACAATAGATGGTGTAGGGTCTTTTAGAGCAAACCTCTGAAACTGTGAATATCTGTGTGTTGAATTGCCTTCAAATGCATATTTGCATACACATTTAAAAACGTGTCTCAGTATGTCTGTCTTTCCTTTAGGCTGACAAAAGACGAGGTCGTTCGATGGGCAGATTCCTTCGATGTTCTTCTTTCGCACAAGTGTAAGTTAAATTACGGTCCCTTTTATATTAACAAGTAACAGTCGATCCTTCTCTTTAGAGTTAGATATGAGAAATTGAACCAAAATATTTCACCTTTTATCAACCAACCCTGCAAAAAACCTCTGGGAGTCCATGTCATTGTTAGCGAACTGTTAGAAGCAAACCAGGCAACTGTACTGATTACATTTTGTCCTCCGTCCCATTCTGTACTCTTTCTGTTTGTCCCTTTGACAAAATGATTGCCTATGTATTTCCTTTGAAAAGAGGATTGTCTTTCTGTTCCCTATCTGAGGATGTCTCCCCACATCAGTCCATTTCTCTCCCCCTAAACCCTTCTTATGTAAGATCCCCTGTCTTTCTGGTTATTGATGTGTAGGACTCCTCAATACACAATGAGACACACTCTTTGTTGTGACCTTCTCTGTGGATTACACAATAACACACATACAAACACATGTTCATGTGCAAATACACACATGCAAACACATGCACATGTTCACGTGCACACACACACGCACATGTACACGCAGAAATAGCTGTGATAACTAGGCTCTCCACAGGGAGTGGGAAATTACACCGCACAGAAGAAAAAACAGGCAACTGACCTTGACTTTAGTTGTATTTATATTTGTTTTCATTTTGCAGTGCATCAATTTTTTTTTTTTTTTTTTTCACCTTTATTTAACCAGGTAAGCCAGTTGAGAACAAGTTCTCATTTACAACTGCGACCTGGCCAAGATAAAGCAAAGCAGTGCGATAAAAACAACACAGAGTTACATATGGGGTAAAAAAACATAAAGTCAAAAATACAACAGAAAATATATATACAGTGGTGCAAATATAGCAAGTTATGGAGGTAAAGCAATAAATAGGCTATAGTGCAAAATAATTACAATAGTATTAACACTGGAATGCTAGATGTGCAAGAGATTATGTGCAAATAGAGATACTGGGGTGCAAAAGAGCAAAATAAATAACAATATAGGGATGAGGTAGTTGGGTGGGCTAATTTCAGATGGGCTGTGTACAGGTGCAGTGATCGGTAAGGTGCTCTGACAACTGATGCTTAAAGTTAGTGAGGGAGATAAGAGTCTCCAGCTTCAGAGATTTTTGCATTTCGTTCCAGTCATTGGCAGCAGAGAACTGGAAGGAATGGCGGCCAAAGGAGGTGTTGGCTTTGGGAATGACCAGTGAGATATACCTGCTGGAGCGCAGACTACGGGTGGGTGCTGCTATGGTGACCAATGAGCTAAGATAAGGCGGGGATTTGCCTAGCAGTGATTTATAGATGGCCTGGAGCCAGTGGGTTTGACGACGAACATGTAGTGAGGACCAGCCAACAAGAGCGTACAGGTCACAGTGGTGGGTAGTGTATGGGGCTTTGGAGACAAAACGGATGGCACTGTGATAGACTACATCCAGTTTGCTGAGTAGAGTGTTGGAGGCTATTTTGTAAATGACATTGCCGAAGTCAAGGATCGGTAGGATAGTCAGTTTTACGAGGGCATGTTTGGCAGCATGAGTGAAGGAGGCTTTGTTGCGAAATAGGAAGCCGATTCTAGATTTAACTTTGGATTGGAGATTCTTAATGTGAGTCTGGAAGGAGAGTTTACAGTCTAACCAGACACCTAGGTATTTGAACACCACCTTGCTGTTTTTGAATAACTAGTTGTTCCTGCCAAAACCAGCACCTGGCAGGTTTTGCTCTAGAAAAAGTAGACCTCTAAACCTCTGACTGATTCTGGCTTCATAATTATCTCAGGCTTTGTTCCTCCAGCGTTCCTGAAAAGCAAACTAAATGTCTTAAATGTTCTGTTGTCTTATCGTGATGCTCCATTGTTAGGATGCCTAATAGGTCAATAAAGTCATTATATAATATGTTGTCCAAACTAGAGATACAAACATGTACGCACAAATCAAGTCATATGGTAGTGTTAATGTTAATGGACATTTGCATAAACATTTAATGTGTGCATGTCTCAAGTTAGCATTTGTCCCTATTGAGTTAATCAAGCATAGTATACAGTATACTGTAGACCCCACTGCCAACCGTTTAACAGGTGGTGCAGTGTTTATAACATAGACAAATTGGTGTGAACTTGAATCATGGTTTGACGTCACATCCACACATATCCTCTTATGAACCTAGCTGCTTGAAACTCTAGGTTCTGGGTCTACTTGTTCTTCGAAATGACAAATATTATCTTCAGACACAAGGGGACAAAGGGACAGACTTCTGTATCCGGCTTCACTGAACATAAAGGAGTGAATCAAGATGCACGCACACACACACATAACTTTATAATTGCATAAGAGAAACAGAAGCAGTACTATTTGTTCCCATGCCTTGGCCACATTGGCTCTGTCCTCACCTCCTGATTAAGCACTTATTGGATCTAACAGGAGAACACAGTTATCACATTCACCTGGCCTATCATATAACCTCAGCCCATTTGTATCACAGCTAATCCTATTTATCTGGTTGCCCTTTGCTTCTTGCTGGGTACCTTAGGCTACCTATCTGTGATGATGTGGTTTGTGACTGCTTCTCATTTCTATGGGAGTCCATTTTATGTGACACATATTGTCTGCATTATGTGAGACCTTGAAGCTTAACTTAATAAGTCTCCTTTCAACATTAATGTCTATGTTTTTCAATATTTAATTATAATATTTACGTGTATGTAAGCTCACTCTATGTTTCTGCATTCTGTAAAGAAAATCGAAAACCCTTTCAGAGTGAGAAATTTACACTGACCAACATTTACACATTAGAAGGCCTTGGCTTGAGTAACACATCATAGCCTATTCCAAAGAGGCTGATTAAAAATAAAGCAGCGAGAGAAAATCTTCCTCCAATCAAAGGTTCATTGCCTCAGGGATCTATTTTTATTTTGAACACTGTCTGTTGACAAGGTGTCCTTCTGGTGATCTTCCTAAAACCATTCTGTAGTGAGAGTGTGTGACTAATGTTGGTGATTGGCCTGATGGACTATACTTCTGCTGCTGCTGCTGGGCAAATGTTAAGCAAATACAGGCATGAGAAAAGAGGGAGGGAGGGAGAAAACATGTCAACATGACACGGCCGATTGTAAAACATGACCTCCCTCCGTGTTATCATTGATGTCGGACAAATGTATCTAATCTTTGATTGATGAAAACAGAAAGCTCATTGGAGGGTTGTAGGACATATTTTTATGTTCTAGCCACAGGGCTGTTTCCTGTGCTGAGAATGAAAGCACACTCCTCATCTCAGACAATATCAATGCATGATAATCAACCCTGTTATTATATGTATCAAGGGAACTACAGGTGCTCTCTGTGGAAAAAAACACATCAGTTCCACAAAAACTGGCCATGTTCAGAAATAGGTGCTGGGATACAATATAGATCTTTGTAAAGACACACACACTTGCTGTCCGTTAGCTCCTCTAACTGGCTGATGGATGTTTTGTGTCGTAGATGGCCTGGCTGCCTTCCGGGCTTTTCTCAAGACGGAGTTCAGCGACGAGAACATTGAGTTCTGGATGGCCTGCGAGGAATATAAAAAAATCAAGACTCCCGCTAAACTGGTGACCAAAGCCAACAACATCTACAATGAGTTTATCAATGTCAAGGCTCCCAGAGAGGTTTGTGTTCGATCAGCTGACTAATGATACAACTGTGCAGTGTTTCCAGATTTATATGAAATATGACCTATAATTAATTACAATATGCCCTCACTACTGTATGTCGCTCTGGATAAGAGCATCTGCTAAATGACTCAAATGTAAATGTTCAATAACTGTCAGCAACATTTTAACTAACTATCCCTTATTCTAAACATAACCCTAACTGTAAATTTAGCAGGCAATTGCTTATCAACAGATAGTCATACTATCAACAAACTAGCTGTAAATCATCTATTTGGGACCATCCAAATAAAGTGTGACCATAAAGTATATTAAAAAGCAGCTTTTCTGTGTTGGAACAGTGTAGATGTAACAGAATGGTGTGGGCTTATACCGGTCTTTAAAAATATTAATGCTCAGCCATTGAGCCAACATGACATCATGTTCTATGAGGAAATATAATTTTTTTTAACAGTCTTTTTGAGATACAAGTTTTAAGTGGACTTTTGAAGTGGGGTTTTTTCTCTCCAATTTACGCTTTGGTCATAAATACGAGTATAGGACGAGTCATCAACATTATTTGGGTATGAGTAAACAGAATATGAACTATTAAAAGTTTGTTTTATACTGGACAGTTACTTTAAATATCAATGCTAAAGGCTGTGTTTGTTTTTAATCTGGGGTTACTATGTGTCAGATAAAAAAATGTAATCCACAACCCTGCAATATTACACATAGGTACACATGAATACGCATACTTTGATTATATGGATTAAAAGTAATTTTGATACTGTCTTCAAACAAGTTTTTCATATGACATTGACATACTTAGATGATTCAGATATCTAATGTTTATTTTGCTCTCCTTTGGTCCCTGTAGGTAAACATAGACTTCCGTACGCGGGAGGTGACGAGACAGAGCCTTGAGGAGCCCACCCCCTCCAGTCTGAACGAGGTCCAGGCCAGGGTCCACAGCCTCATGGAGAAAGACTCTTACCCCCGCTTCCTCCGCTCCAAGATCTACCAGGACTTACTCAAAACGCAGTACACACACTGTCAACGGAACTCTGTCTGAAGAACACACACGTGCAGCCGCAGATACACACACGCACACTTACATGTAAGTGATAATGCCCTAGAAGCCGGTGTTTAGAGGATATATTGGCATGGGTGTTGTTAGCAAACCGTGCCAATATATCCTCCAAACAACAGCTTCGAGGGCATTATCACTTTTATACAACAGGTTACCAACATATTAAAATGATGATTGACATATTTTCATTATAAACATTATTTTAATGAATTTATTCATACTATTTCATCCTTCCACAAGATATAGTCCCGACACAAATCTAGGGTTGCTACCCAAGCCGGCTGGTTGTTCGTTCTATCGGTTCGGTTGTTAGAGACGCGACCCAGTCGTTCAGTTTTTTTGTTCTGTATCTATGGACACGACCCAGTCGTTCAGTCTTTTTGTTCTGTACCTATGGACGCTAACCAGTCGTTCGTTCTAAATATTCCATTGCCATACTGGCTGGCAACATTCTTATCCCTTGCTTGCTAGCTAGCCAACTATACCTAACTTACAGTCACGTCAAAACGTGTAGCCAAAATACCAGCAAAGTAGCTGCATTCGCATTTGTTTAAGCTGTTTTCTAGTTATATTTATTTGGATAAATCCATAACAATGAGCTAATGAGGCGCAATTTCACCTGGCATAGAAAATATGCTCACTCGTCAGGACACTGTTGTTAAGAGGAGCTAGCCAACAACACAGCTAACTCAATCACTTCAAACTGAAGCTGGAAAGACAGCAAACTAGCTGCACTTCATTTCGTTTTACCTTTTTTCAATTTACATTTCTTTGTATATATCCATAAAAATGATGCCATCTGATTCATGTTTTCGACTGGCTGAGAAACGCTTTCTGCCTGTTTGTCTTGTCCCGACTCCCGACACGTTCATTACTATGGGACAGCCGGAGATCTAATTTTAATATTGAAACAATGTTGCAAATGTCGGAGAGACAGACAGCAGATTTATGCAAATCTCCGCTGTTGAAAACTAAATGTTAGTCTAAAAGAAATGTGAGATAATGTATAGATGCTTTTTGTAGTGGAGATCAAGTTTATTACATTTACATTTTAGTCATTTAGCAGACGCTCTTATCCAGAGCGACTTACAGTTAGTGAGTGCATACATTTTCATACTGGCCCCCCGTTGCAAGCGCCATGCTCTACCAACTGAGCTACACGGGGCTACATAAATTTATAAATTGCTTGGCTGGGCTGATGAGACAGTGGATTGCGCGGTCAGATGGTACAGAGTAAATAGGCATTTTAACGTCATAGACTTTTCCGGTGGTAACTTGTGGAATAGACACTGGCTGGAATGCGGTTTTAACCAATCAGCATTCAGGATTAGACCTACCCGTTGTATAAACACGCACACACACACACACTTCTTCAGTAGTTACAAGAACACAAGTAACGATTATTCCTCAAGTCCTATCTTGAGATCTATGTTCGTAACTCGATTTCAGTCTCCCATTGACATATTGAATCATGTGAAAGTTTAAGTTATACATGAAGTATCAAGATAGGATTCTAACAGAGGGATTCTTAGAATTTAGACATATCGTGATATTGTATCATCCCTCTTAGAACTGTGTCGAGCTAGTTTGCACTTAGAAAACAAAATACCACAAGACCTTGTACTGTGTATACTTTTATTGGTCTTATTAGACAACGTGTTGTTGTTGTTGATGTGTATTTCTCCTCTCAATACATACTTATTTTGAAGTCGATACGTTTCTGGGAATTTTATTCAACTTTTTCAGCACGACATGTTATATATATACTGTAATATTATTTCAGATGCTGAATATCTCGATTATTATTCTTAAAAATGACAAAGAATATAGAGAATATTTGAATGATTTATGATATACACAAAGATATGATTTAAACTTACTGTGGATCAGTGAAACTGCATGAGTAAAATATAAAATATACATATTTGCAATGGTTTGTTCGTAGTGGTGCATACCTTGAATGTAATGTCCTCTGAGATTTTTTTTTCCTATAAAAATGAAATGATCTGGAGTCAAGCTGGATTTTCTTACACACAGACAAAATGCACACAGATACAGACCAAACCAATGAATACATAACACCTCAGGAGAGAGGGCGAGAGAGAGAGTGAGAGTGGAGTAGTAGAGTGAGATAGAGAGAAGAGCGCGGAGAGGAAGGAAGAGAGAGTGAGAAGAGAGAGAGACGAGAGAAAGAAGAGATGAGTAGAGAGAGTAGGATAGAAAGATATATCAGGAGCTTTCATAAGACGAATCGAGAGATCAGAGATCTAGAGACGAGACAGAAAGATATATAGTATATAGGAGCTAGATACAACGATTTAGGAGAGAGCGATACCGAAGACCACACCAGAGGACAGAGAGATAAAGATAAAGAAGACAGGAACAGCATCTGGTTATTCAGGGAGAGTTTAGTAAAAACTCAAAACAAGTGCAGGTGTCAAAAATGTATGTTTGCTATGCCAGTCACGAGGGATCTGTGCCCTTTGAATGTGTAGGCCAGGTGCCCAGTGGTCTCACCCACAGCACCACTTAGTTTCGCCTGTTGTGTATGTGTAAGTTGTTGAGTCACTGTGGGGAAGAGGACCAAGGGAAATGTAGGCCAGTGTTCTCATTCATAGACACAAGGGCAGCACACGGGCAGCACATGGTCGGATGTAGGTCAATAGACAAACAACACACCCACTGAGCTACGTTGGATATTATTGACGGTGATGATGATGGTTATGTAATTATGATGGTTACGGTTATGATGGGCATGAGCGTTGCTAATAGCAGTAGTAGTGGTACTCCTTTCTTACATAAAATAAGCCATCAACATCATATTTTTGGCTGATCCTTTTTTGAATGTTATTCCCACATCACTAATCTTTCTGTATTTATTTGCAGTAAAGCCAAACAAATGTCCCACTCCAGCTGCACAGATTTCCAAAGCAAACTGTCGGCAAGGCAACACGTGTTCTACTTCACTAATGAGAAATCTAACAAACGTGCCACACTCTCTCTCTCCTCTCTCTGTAGCTTCCTAATCAATAGCAAACACAATCACCTGCCCAGAGCCTGCTGCTGTTATGATTGCTCCTCACTCATCACATTTACAGAGAAACAACAAGAGTTCCAGAGAGTAGAAACACATCTGCCTCCATCCCAAAGAGGGTCACTTTACATATTGATTGTTATTGCCAAAATCACTTCAAATGGCACGTTGGTGTGAGTGAAGTAAGACTCCTGTGATCAACATGTTATTTCCCAGGCTTCCCATTGTGTAGTGAAAGATAAGCACCAATTCTCTGCATGCTAGAGTTAATCAGTTAGAAGTCTATGTTGATCATATGGCCAACAGGCTAGAGATCACTATGCAGTCATTAAACCCAGTCAAACACTGGGAAGCATGTTGTCAGCACCTCAGGGTTCTGGTAGTGTAGTGTTCATTAAACTGGACCCTATTCACGCTCAGTCCCTCCTCTGAGGCAGAGGAGCTGTGAAATGGTTTTATCACAGGGCAATAAAACAGACAATACAGTCATCACATTACAGGACCATGCAGTCATGGAGCATCTGTCTCAGCCCAGTCAATATGCTATGAAAAGAACCAGCCATACACAAGGGAAGTACATAGCAACAAGAGGTGTTGGAGACAAGCAAAACACAAGAGGGAAATTGACGGACACTCCCTTAATGAAAAAACACATGAATTTCACATGAACACGTGAAGTGTTCCAAAAGTACATGTTTTCATGTGATCACATTATCTTACGTGATAACGTGACAACATGTAAAGCAACATGAAACTACACATCTTAAAACGTGATCACGTGAAGTGTTCCAAAAACATGTTTTCACATGAATTTTACATCTGAGATTTAATGTGAAATCATGTGACTTTCCACATGTGAAATCGTGGTTTTTGATTGATTGCGATATTAAAGTCTGTAGTGTGCATGTGATGTCAACATATTATATATGTTCTTTTTCAGAGTGTATATGATGGGAATGCAGCTTAATGCAGGTCTGGGATGGCTCTCAGGGTCCTATATGGAATCAAACCTACCATAGCAATGTTTTTAACAGGCTCATACAGTTGAAGTCGGAAGTTTACATACACCTTAGCCAAATACATTTAAACTCAGTTTTTCACAATTCCTGACATTTAATCCTAGTAAAAATTCCCTGTCTTAGGTCAGTTAGGATCACCACTTTATTTTAAGAATGTGAAATGTCAGAATAATAGTAAAGAGAATGATTTATTTCAGCTTTTCTTTCTTTCATCACATTCCCAGTGGGTCAGAAGTTTACATACACTCAATTAGTATTTGGTAGTATTGCCTTTAAATTGTTTAACTTGGGTCAAACGTTTCGGGTAGCCATCCACAAGCTTCCCACAATAAGTTGGGTGAATTTTGGCTCATTCCTCCTTACAGAGCTGGTGTAACTGAATCAGGTTTGTAGGCCTCCTTGCTCGCACACACTTTTTCAGTTCTGCCCACACATTTTCTAAACGATTGAGGTCAGAGCTTTGATGGGCACTCCAATACCTTGGCTTTGTTGTCCTTAAGCCATTTTGCCACAACTTTGGAAGTATGCTTGGGGTCATTGTCCATTTGGAAGACCCATTTGCGACCAAGCTTTAACTTCCTGACTGATGTCTTGAGATGTTGCTTCAATATATCCACATAATCTTCCTTCCTCATGATGCCATCTATTTTGTGAAGTGCACCAGTCCCTCCTGCAGCAAAGCACCCCCACAGCATGATGCTGCCACCCCCGTGCTTCACGGTTGGGATGGTGTTTGTAGTGTATTAGGATTATGTCTTTGTTAATGTTTTTCATGAAGAAATGGAATGTTGTTTATGTTAGGTCAAAAGTAGCCAGTTGTAGGGTGACGCCCCAGGGGAGACAGGTGATTGGACGGCAGAGGGAGCAACCCATATTTTTACATTGTTTATAAGTAT